TGTTACTTTTGTTACGAGACCCCCCCACCAAACGGGACAACTTCAGTTTCGGTTTATTTATGGGGATGCAAGAAAATCTCAGGCGTGACGTATGCCACCTCCGACGTCACCATCAAGACCCACTGCGAGGATGAGTTGTGAGATGGTGACTGATGTGTAAGTGGGTGTCTGCCGCTTTTCCTATATCTGTTTCCATTAATATGTTGTTGTCTCACCGAGTTTTCGATGCTGGCCTTTGCAAAGCGCTGGTAATTACCCAGACTCTCTCCGGTGTAGAAAAGGGGTCCACTGCTGCAAGTCCATCTATCATTATGCAAAGGCTTTCATGGCAAATGATAATGTATCCAACCTCGGCCCCGGTGCCCATTGACCAACTAGCGAGCTCATTTTGGATCTTAAGCACAGCAGCTCATCCGGACCCTAGACCAACATCATCAAGCCAATGAATCCAGTACACTCCAGCCGCCCGGTTTCAGGCTGTGCCTCATGTGCGGTCTCAGGCGCGTGCAGGATGCTGTGTTCTCTGGTTGTGGGTCGAGTCGAGTCATTTAAGTGTGTAGGGATTTAAGCTTACTTCAGGTTCTCTCGCCAGTCCAATATCCTACGCCTGAGCAAAAGATCCCGAACAGCGGAATCGTCCTTACATTCGCATGTAGAGCATGGGTGTAGGGAATAGGGAATGGTGAATTGTCGAAATAGCGACTTTGGTTTGCCGCCTGGCTGGGTCTGACCTCGACGCATCAGAATCTGGAGCTAGCAGAAGCTGGGACTTCTCGCTGCGTACGGCAAAGCCCTAAACTTTGAACCTGAAGCCCGACTCGCAAACCTCCAGGCTTGTGTTGTGCTCCAAGAATAGGAAATGTGATTTGTCACCTGCTAGCGTACAGGTACACCTTGAGTTCTAGATCCTAGCCAACTTTTTTAACTTGCAGCTTGACTGCTCAAGGCGTGCCTTGTGCAACGTCCAGCAAAAGATCTCCTTACGCTACTAAGCGTAAGTCTTGTCTTGTAGCTAAGTAGTGAAACCACGCAAACCAGAACTCTGGATCGATCTCCAGCATTGCTTTGCCTTGCCATTGCTATTGCTGTGCTTGTTGGGTAATCGATTGGAAGCGCACTGCTTTGTGACCGAGAGTTAAGCGGAATCCTCTGCTCTTTACAGGTTATCAGCCACAGGACCTCTTGCTTCCGATTGTGTATCTTTGCTTGCTGCCGCCGCCCCTGCACTCGGGTCGTCTATCCGGTTGACTTCTGAAGCGCAGCCGATATTCTGGCGCCATTTGCCCCGTTCGGACCTGTGCCAAGTAGCGCTGCAGAGAGACGATGACTCCGATTGGGTCTCCGCGAGTTCCTTCGACTGTCGGTTAACTTCACTGGTGAACGCCGGTGGCTCGAAATGACGCGGAACCCGATGATAGTGCTCTCGCAGCTCGCCTTGCTGCTACGCCTTTGCATGTCACGCCGGCCGAGGTCGATCGGAGCTGGCAACAACTGTACATCGGCATGTCCAGTGGAGAAGCACGGATTGGTGCTGGAGTCAACAGCTCCTGATCCTGACCATCCGAATGACGCTCTTCGGACTGCGCATCCTCACCCGGAAGGAGGCGCTAGATCGCTGAATCCCCCCGGGCGCCCTGCACCGACCACGGATCTGATGGACGATTCTACATCGATCCGCGAGAGCCCTGCTCCGAAAGGCAGGGGCAAAGGCAAGGGCAAATCCAAGGGCGATGAAGGGAAGGGTGAAAGCACAAAACGAAAAGACGATAAAGGAAAAACCAAGGGCAAAGGAAAGTCCGGCGATCGGACGCGCAGTCCCCCAGGCGGGCGCAGAGATGGACCGCGCCGCCGTTTGAACGCAACCGATTGACTCAGTGATGACACATGGTGTCTCTTGAACGCGGATCCGGTTGAGCCTCCACGAGCATTGTTGGCTCACACTGAAGTTAATGTTCGTGTTGGCTTTGATGGTGTCACGTACACCAGATACCATTTCCATCACTTTCCTGAGCAATACGTTGTCCTTGCCGAAGCTTAGAAGCCACAGGGGTGCAATAGCTAGCCATGGTGTTTTCCTCTTGTGTTTTTTTCTTTTTCCACAGACAGTCGATGCTGCCGAGTCGCTGCTCTGAACGCATTGATCAAAAGCGCAAAACCCGCCAATTTTCCACGATTCAGCACGATCCGTCCGGTATACCTACGATTCGGTGTATCGCTGCAGGTCTGCCCAACGCATAAGCTGCAAATGTACAGCGCCCTGCTTTGTGATCGAAAGTTCAGTGGAACTTTTTGCTTTCCACAGGAAAGATCCCTGACATCATGTTAGAATGCTCGCAGAGAAAACCGTTCGTGGTGACTGATGAGAGTGTCTTTTAGACTTTGGATTCAGTTTTTAAACGTGCGTGATGCATGTGGGATGAACGAAAAGGGTGTAAATTTTGTGGCCCTGTCAAAACGTTGTGCTGATCTCCTTCCGGCTTTACCCAAGCCGGAACCTTCATCTTCTGACCTCTAGCCAAGAGAGCACTGCCGTCCGGGGCTTTGTTTCCAGAGAGCACTTGCAAGACACCTGCAGACGAGTTCTTGTTGTGAGTGCGACTGTTAATCTTGTACTAACCATTTTGCCGATAGCATACTTCTCACCATCGCTATAGTTAGCTCCTGCCTCCCGAAAGCGCAAAACCTCTATTCTGAACCCAAGAATTGACTTGAAGCCTTACATCCAGACTTCAATCAAGAACCACGTAGCCCAACCGAAACATGACTGACCGTTTTGTGGAGGCTTGCCAGACAGACCTTCAAGCCGAGCAGGCACTGAGTCCTCGGAGGGCAAATCAGGGCTAAACGAAGCTCGAAACAAACTGGTAAATACGAGCCTCAAGCTCACATCCGAAAGATTCAAGTGCTGCAGGCACTTTAACGTGATGCACAAATCCTGTACTGGAGATCCAGCCCCAGTGACGCATTAGCTGGCATGCTGATTGTAATGACTGCTTCCAGAGATTCGAGCAGACTTGTATCTAGCCCACACCACCATGCGGGATCCCAGCCACCACCATGCGGGACTGAAGATCTAGACACGATTCCTTCCGTTACATTGATTCAGTTTCAGAAACCGTTTTTGGACTGGGAGTTGGTCAGCTGTAACTTCTTGCCTTGCCCAAGCATGGTTTCCAAGTCTCAGTCCGAAACCCCGCCCCCGCCCGCTTCTGGAAAGACGCACCCCGAAAATTTAAATCCTCAAGACTGTCTACCAGATTGATCTGATGCCGTCCCTGCAAAGCCTGTTCGGACCAGGTGATGCGGCTGGAAGCCGCGCGAGCTGATCTCTCGAAGAGACGGCGTTTGGAACAGGAAGGCGAGCGGTGGCAGTAAGGATGAGCATGACAATGTTGCGATGCTGCTGCTGTAGTTGGTGATTGTGATGCTGATGTCGCTGACGATGACGATGATGATGATGATGGTGATGATGATGATGATGATGCGGCTACTAATGATGATGAAGATGGGTGGTGATGATGATGGTGATGATGCTGATGGTGATGCTGAATGGTGATGGTGATGCTGATTCTGACGCTGATGCGGATGCCGATGCTGCTTATGCTGCTTACGCTGCTTATGCTGGTGGTGACGACGGCGGTTGGGACCATTATTGTATGATGATGGTGATGATGGATGACGAATGATGATCATGCTGGTGGCGGCGGTCACGGCGGTGGTGCTGCCGATTCTGCTGACATTCGTGTCGAGGATGATATGGATGATTAACGATGTTGGCGATGATGGCTGTGATTCTGATGATGACCTGCTGCTTCATCTGCTTCTGCTGTTCATGATGTTCATCATGCTGCTGCTGCTGCTGCTGCTGCTGCTGCTGCTGCTGCTGGGTTGCTTCTGGGTGCCGCCGCCCCGCCGCCGCTCTGCCGCTGCGGCTGTCACTGACGCTGCCGCTGCCACTGCCGCCGCTGCCACTGCCGCTGCTGCCACCGCCGCTGCTGCCACCGTCGCTGCTGCCACTGCCTGCCGCTGCGGTGCCATCAGGGGTAGAGACCTTATGACATGTTGCGGACTTTTAAACACCGCAGCCGCTGGAGGTACCCTGGCAAAGCGCGAAGCGCAGCTGGAGGCGAAGCGCAAGCTCGTGGAGAAGGTGGGCGGCATTGATTTGCCAGGCACTGCGATGCAAATCAGCATGGCCTCTGTTAACTTTGGCCCCGCGGCCCCATACGCAGGCCACGAACTCAGCTCTCAAAACGCTGTAAAAGGCTGTAACCTACCGGCTGAAAAGTCATGAACCCATTAGTTCGAGTCCCCCATTTCGACAACCACGCCCCACAAACTGTTGTGCTAGAAAGCCGTGAATCCAAACGTCAAACTTACTCCTAAAGTTAACCCAGACTCCTGCCCAGCGTTCCGAGACAGGCCAGGGCGGAACTCGCCGAGGCCAACAAGTGCCGGTTGAGGGTGAATCCAGGGCTCGATGGGGGCTAAGTGGGGGAAAATTGTTTTCTGGCTTTTGGATTTTCAGGTTAAGCTGGTTTAGGGTTCTAGGGTTTCGGGTTTGCGATTTCGGGAGTCGAGGGTGTCGGTCTTTGGGGTTGACGGACTTCATGGATTGAGTTTCTCGTCGGTCTTGAATGATGTTTTTGCGGATGCTATCGCATGTCAGGTTTTTGCGGCATTACATTGCTCTCCTGCCTCAAAGTTCCAGACTTCCCGAGATTTGTGGATTTGCCCTGTCCGGACCTAGGCGTGGACTGTCTTGGTTTGTTGCTAACCTCGGAGGCGCAGCGGGCGCAGCGGATGCAGCGCAGAAAGCAGGCGCAGGCCACGAAGGGCAGAGTGCAGCCTTGTTGTCCGTTGCTGCTTTTGTTTTCTTGCCCGACTGTGGATGAAGTACAAAAATATGTCGGTCCGATAGTTCCCTTGGATTCAGCTTGTCAACATCCAGCTCCACTTTTCGCGAGCAAGGAAAGAGTTGATCAATTCTGAAAGCCATGCGTAAGTGCTTCAAGATTTCCAGCACACCCACCATGCAGAAAATGAGCAGAGACGAATTGGGAAAGCCGAGGCAACCCTTCGAAACCCTGCAGCTATCCAAATACGAAGTCGTACACCCTGAAACCCGAAAGCCCCAAAGCTTGAAAGTACCCCTTAAAGCCAGGAGATCGCCAATCTCGAGGACAGCGTGCGAAGCGCTGAGGCCTTCGGCCATTGCAGGGGCTGGGTCAAGTTTCTTCGGAACTGAGCCTTGAGGTTTGAAGGGCTGAAGGGGCTGCTAGGTTTCGCGGCGTGAGGCAGACCTTACCAATGGCTTTCGTGCTTGGATTTCTTTCGATTCTGCACCAGATCTTGAAACTCTTGTTTCTGAGCTTCTGCTGTTCGCGCTCGCGCTTGGTCCCCACCTTTCCCGCGCATCGGGTTGGTTGTTTTATGGTTTGGATTTCGCGTCGAGTTCCGGTCGTGAATCTGCTTTGGGCTAAGCTTTGCAGGGAAAGAAGTTTGGAAGAGTCTGTAGGCCCTGGTGATCATACCGCCCTGCCAGGAGAAACGCTCTGTTCCACTGAGCGAGGAGGAGAAAGAAATTCAGGCAGTGGGCTCAGGAGTATTGGATCGAAGATGCAAGCGCTGGGAAGGGGGGATTTTGGGCTGGCTTTGCAGTTTCCGAGCTTTGAAGGGGCTGCGCAACGAGCTGCAGACCCTCACAGAGGAGAATCAGTCCATGTTTGAGGCGGAAGCGGCGTAGCAGAGATGCCTCACTTCTCAGGATTGTTGATTTGGTGTTAGGTAGCCGATACTTTCCCAAGTTTGAGCAAGCAGTGAATGGGTACTGCTTTACTGGTGATTGCCTTGAGAATCGTTCTTGATGACGTCTTCTGTCACTGTTGTCAAGTCATGGCTTACTTGTGCAATGTTTGATGATGTCGCATGCAGGAAAGGGCGGGGACCTGCCGGGAGAGATGCCAGTGTCCATCACTGCTGCCCTTGCTATGATCAGCACGAATGTAGACAGGTGACCGACCGAACGTGCTTTTGCCAAACAACCACGACGAAAGCAAAGCTTGACCCCGCCTCTGTTTCGAAGCAGCAGGCTGTGAAATGGGTTCGTGAGGAGGAGGCCAATGCCAAGAATGATATTGAGGCGGGACAGGGCTGATGTGTGAGGACTTGGTTTTGGGGTTGAGCACCATTTGCTGGATTTTCCTTTTGGAGGGTCAGAAACTTAAAGCTTAAGCGGGGCGGCCATGCAGCTCACAGTGCATGGCGCTGGGTTCATGACTGAGGGCTCCAGCCCCCCAATATGCCAGGCGGCAGAGGCAGACGTGATCCATCTCCAGGAGGGCAGTGCTGGGTTGCGAGCCTGTGCTCTCGAGCCAGACACACCAAGCAGCCAAACTGCTAAACAACAGCTCCGAAGCCAGAAGCGAGCTTCTCTAGGATGGCTTGCAGATATGCTATTTTGCACCATTCGAGCTGCGAAGCTTGCACGCTGAGTCTGAGCACGGGAGCCTCCTTTCGTCGCACCGTCCCTTGCCAGGATGCGCTGCGAGACGCACAGGAGGAGACGCTGGCCATCCAGCGGAAGCTCGTGTGGTGCTCGGAAAGAGATGCGCACTTGAGCTTTCCAGCTCCACAAGTGCCGGTTGTCACCGGCAGTTCTGGGTCTTCACAATGCGGGGGTTTGAGATGTGGAGGCTTACGGAAGCAACGCTTCCGCCGCTCTCTAGGAGTAGCGCCGTGTTGGTTTAGTGTAAATGATCACGGTCAAAGCCATTTTCTTAGATCTTTGCCTGTCGCCCAGGCCCTTTTGACCAAGAGCCACCAGGAGCTCGAGGTCGATTCCCTGGCTCGTGCTGATTGCCAGTTTTGGCCAAGCCGTTTGGGGGTTACGCTTCCTAAATGTTTTTTGAGGTTAAGTGGGATCCCCGGTGTCTGGAACCGCCACACCATATCCCTGCCATAATGACTTCTAAGGCACTGCCGTCCTTGCGGACTGAGAAGGCCGCAACTGTGGCAGGGGCCCTTAGGAGAAGTTAGTGTGGGAAGGCAGGCGTGGGATGGGGACACGATACAACCCGAGTCCTTAAACGATCCATTCTAGGTGTGGGGCTTCAACTCTTCAATCTGCAGCCTCGTGCTAAAGCCCATCTCCGAAACTGTGTGGTCTGCGGGACTTTTCACACTCCTTGGCACTTGAGGACTGTGCAGACTTCGGGTTTGAGATGAGGTGTCCTTGTTGGAGGACGAAGTAGCAAGACAAGACGAAGCCACCAACGGGGCCCGGCATCTCTAGTCTTTTACGGCAACATGTCGTGCGAAGCAATGGTGCAGACAGCATTGAAGCTCTTCTTCTCGTCTTAATGCTCTGCTCCTACCATTCATGGTCCTCCATATCATCATGTTCACAAGATTCTGAGCCATTCTGCGAAAGACAGCAAGGCGAGTAGCGTCTGCGGCGAAGCTCTCCAGCAGCTTGGTTTTGAGTTGACCGCCGGGGATGGACCACCCGAACCTCGGAGTGATCCACAAAGCGTGCAAACCGAAGCTTAAGATCTCCATGGATCATTGGTCCTTGGCTTTGAATGACCGTGTCGATCCTCTGCCTTACACGCCGATTGTCATCGACAGTGTTGTGCCAAGTCGGACTTTTACAGGAATGTAGGAGTGATTAGTCTCCAGACGGTTTGATCAAAGTTTGGAGATCAGTTCATGATTCCGGCTGATGCAGGGTTCAGGGTTCATGGATGCTTAGAGGAGCATTGACGCAGTCCGATCAAATTAGAATGTCTTGTTATTGTTGCATAGCGTCTGTGGAATTGGCTGTGCGAGTGCTGAGAGTGCGCCACTGGTTCGTGGCCCCCAAGGGAAGAAATCCGATGGTTTCCAGTCGCTTGGGCAGAGTCACTGAGGTCACTGAAGATGCTTGAAACCTTGGTGCTCAAGTTCCCTGAAGACCCGATGGCCTAGACCCGATCTCCAACGTGTTGGATGTTGATGGCCACGCGGAGCGCTCTCAGGCGGCTTCTGCTTTGGCGAGGTCAGGTGCGCACCGAGGAGAGCGCACAGCCACTGCGGTTTCTGGTTTTGGGTTTGGTTGTGCAGAGGCGGTGTGTTATCTTTCTTTCCGGGAGGGGGTGGGGTCGGTGATGAAGGTCCGGAGCTTCTCCGACCAGACCGTTTGCCATAAACTGCAAGTTGAGCTGCTTCGGTTTAGCAATAGCATTTGGAGCCAAAAATACCCCTAACACTTGCGTGTTTTGTAGACTGTGTGTGAGACTGTCTGAGGATAAAGTTCAAGCCTTGCATCCCTCACTCCTCGCCCTAAGCCATGAAAAACCGATGGGACGTTGATTGTGCGCCTTGCCTGTGTTGCAGACTGTATGAGACTGTCTGCTGCTAAATTCGGCTTCCGGCTGTGTCTGGGTCCTTTCCGTTTTGTGTCTGGGTCTAAGAGTTCTTGGAGGTATGGGGAGTCAAGCGAGCCGTAAATGGCATCCCCTCAAAGTTTCCACTTTTGGGTCAATCTGAGGAAGTGCGAGGGATGCCTCAGCATTTCTATGTTTCAGGTTTTAGAGTCTAGGTTACAGGGCTTAAGGGTTTAGAGTTTCGGGTTTGAGGGATGAAGGGCTCTATTCGGGTTCAAGGGTTTAGAGGTTGGGATTTTGAGCTTCAAAGGTCTTGGGTTTACGGCTTCAGGCTTGAGCACTGTGGGGGCTAGGAGGGCTAGGGTGTTAGGGGCAGTTGGGGTTAAGGTTAAGACCAGGGCCTTCAGATGCGTTTCGATTAGATACATAGATACCCCAGTGTAGCCCTTGTTGTGTTTTTTGTTAGCAGAAAAAGGTGCCCTTATTATCCCTTACTCAGGCAAGCTATCGGCTCCGTAAAGAACTTCCAACAAAATTTAGTACTTAGAGCGGGCAAACAAGCATTTGCCGATCCCCGTCGGTAATTGAGCCGCTGCCGCCGCCGCTCACAAAACCTTATGTACCGAGCCCCTCCCCTTCCGGTATTTAAGCTGCCGCCGCCGCTCGACCGCGAAACCTGAATTAGCTGACGCCACCGCTGGCCGCAAAACCTTACGTACCGACACCCCCCGGTCATTTAAGTCGTCGGGGCCGCCGCGAAGCCTGAATTACCGACCCCCCTCCTTCGGTACTTAAGCCGCCACCGCCACCGCTCGACCAAGAAACCTTAATTACCGACCATCCCCTGCGGGTGTGCCGTCACGGGAACAGGCTGTCTGTAACCGAATCTGGTAACAGGAACCAGGCCTGAGACCGTAACAGAAAGCGCCTAGTTCCCGTAACATGTTCAGCACAGCGCATGGTAACAGAAACCACGTCCTGCGCATCCTCCTGTCGATCGTGACTGCTGTGTCGGCCCCTAAACTCAGAGAGCGCTTTTCGGTCCTCGAGATCTAGGGTCTAGGGGTTCAGACCTCTTAATCTTATGTTAATTGCAGAATCAGACCTGATCGATGAAGTTTACTGTGGACATAGAAGCTTCTGACATTTGCCTTCAAGCAGCGGCACTGCCTATTACCATTCGCCATTGCTACCGGTGCTGGCAGCGTTGGGGTTTAGGGTTCAGGGGTTTAGGGACTTCACCTTCCTGACAGACAACTACTCACTTTTGAAGACAAATGAAACTATCTGCAACGAGTTCAATCTTTCCTATGCTTAACCTATGAAATTACAGCAAGTGCACATGCTCTTACGACCATCAGCCTGCCTGCTTGTCTGTCAGCTTCTGCCTGCATGTGCGAAGCACGCATAAGATTGGTTGTGTGCACCTGCTCAGTATCTATGATTATCTATGTAGCAGCACTTGACTTTGTGTGTGGGTGTGTCCCAATGCATCGACATTTCAATTTATGTCTTATCTACTTCAGCCCTGCCATTGGGGGACCGGTTTTCGGTCCTCGACTTTGCGAGCACAAAAAGCCTCCTGCCCACGCCTCGCTGGTTTCCGTTGGCAGCTGCAGTGCCTGTCGTGTTCCTCGGTAATTAAGCCGCCGGCGCTCGGCCGCAAATTCTTAGTTACCGATCCCCACCTCGGTAATCAAGCCGCTGTGCCGCGGCTCCGCCGCAAAAGCTCAATTACCGACCCCTCCTCGGCAAGCCAGACGCTGCCGCTGCCGCTCGGCCGCAAAACCTGAATTACCGACCCCCCGTCCAACAATTAAGTCTCTGCCGCCCCCGCGCGAAAAATTACCGACCCCCTGCCGCCACCCGTAGTTATGCCGCTGCCTTCCTTGCTCGGCCATGAAACCTGAATCATTGTGTCTGCTATTTTTCGTGCGGTGATTTCAGGTCATCAAAGTAGGGCGTTTTCCTCAGGCCTTGGCCACTAAAGTGTTGAGATTGAGGTGGACTGAGGCGATTGGGGTTTGTTTGGACCATTGGGGCCGACCCTCATTTCGTTTCATTTAGCGAGTGTTTGCTGGCAAAACCATCTTAACACATTCCCGAGCAGGTTTCTTCCAATAGGATACTGATCCCGGTGATTTTGGGCAGGTTTCGGCCTTATTACCGAGGATATAATTGCTGCACAAAGCCCCCAATTATGAAAATTAACAAGGCTGTTATCAGCTGATCAGCAACTCCGGAAGCCGAACCTTACCTTTTTTCGGCCCTTCTGCGGTTGCTCGAACTAATGGGGGCAAGGCCATGAACATAAGAGAACAAGGGCGATGTGAAAGTACGGAAACCTCGGTTCGGGTGCCCTACAAAGATCCATGGGCATCAGAACCAAATCCTCCAACCCTCTGATCCCAACTCAGCAAGGCTCAGCATCCGAAAGTGGAGCTTGAAAGGTCAGATTCCCAGGCCTCAAGGCCATTCAAGGCCTAAACACGCGAAGCCTTACAGCCCGCCGAACACTTCAAAGCTCTCACCCTTGACTAGGAGCTCTTGGGCCGCGTCGAAGGTGCCGATAGGGGTTCTAAGCTGGGTGTTTCAGACTCGGCGTGTCTTTGGGTTGTTGGGACTGAACTCGTGCATTTTATGGCTACTGTTCCTATCGTTGGCGCGACAGTCGAAGAATTGTTGCAAGTCCAAGCCAGCATCAGGAATCACCAGCTTTTGAGGGCTGTATAGAGTTTTGGGTTTCCGTACAAAGACAGGCAGGGCAGCTCGGTTTCGAATCGTGGATCAGAGTTTTTGCGGGCTCACGGCGGCTCATGGGCTGACGGTCCGGTGGGGGCTGAAGAGTTCGGGGGGTGCTTTTGACCTGCAGCCCAACAAGTCTCAGGGACAGTGAGCAGATCTACTTGATTGGGAAAGCCAAAAGCCCAAACCCGACAGGGCGTTTGTCAAACCTCAGGGGTCTTGAGCGGACAGCCTTCTCAGCGCATAGGCAAGTTCGCATGCAGGGAATTGGCACCTTATCATCCACATTCCCTTGCAACAAGCTGTGTTTGCAACTCGACATCCCGTCTCCCGGTTCCCTCGACCACGCGGGCTGCAATCTTGGTGGAGTAGGCTAGGGGTGAACCGTTGAGGGCACGTTGGGGGCCTAGATGCCTAGCTGAGGATTTGAATAAGACTATGGCTCCAAATCCTGATGGGGTTCGCATCCCTTGGATGATCAGTGGACATAGTAAGCGTGTGAATCAGCCAGGGCCAAATTACTGAATTGCACCCTACCTTTTAGGCCCCTGATCCTCCAAGCACTGCAGCCCAAGATAGAAGGCTCCGAGATGGGGCGCAGAGCGCTCACGCACCTGCTGGGTGCTGGTTGTCTGGCTGCGGCCGTAGTAGGCATGGCAGCACGCGGAGCTGCAGGGTCTCGGGCCGTCTGGGTGTTTTGAAGTTTTGTTCCGGGGGGCCTGGAGCTGGAATTTTTGAGTTTCGTTGTTGAGGATGTTGATATGCGGCGTGGGACTTCCGTGACGGAATTTGCAGGGTTCATCTCGTATTCCCGATTTTACAGCACTACTCCGGTCAAGGACTAGTAAGGTTGGTACTTGGGGGCTTCGGCATTTGCCCGTCAGAGAGAGCGCTTATGGCTCATGGTTTGAGCTTTGGCATCGGCAGTCATGTCGTGATGTTGTGTCAGGTCCTGAATCTGAATGCTCCAACTTATCCACTCGCTCTCTGAGTCCTAGAGACAGACCCTATGTGCGTCCTGAGCCTCCAATACTTAAAGCCTGGGCCTGCGCCGTAGGGACATGGTGTTCACAACTTCCAACACCTCCGAAAGCCAACTGACACTCCGACAGGGGCCGTGCGCCTGCGCCACCACCTGGAACGTGGATAAAGTGTATATATGGGACTTCCTCAAATTAGATGC